CCAGTGCCTTTGACGATGCATTCTGGTAATTTCCTGCGCAAAAGCAAGTGACACTTGATAAGAGTTTACAGGTCTTGCTAAGGTAAGGCGCGTAATTCAACAGGAGTAGCCAAAGGCACTAGCAAAAATGCACGAAAATGCAAAATAGTCCCCCCCCCCCTCTAAGCGGAGCAGTAACGTGTCCGACTATACTATTTTATCCTACCATCAGAGAGAAATTCCCATAAGTTCTCAAAAATCTTCAAACTAGCGAATGTGCAAAATGCCCCTTCCCAGCCTAACAGCGCCCAATTCACGAGTAGCTAGGAAGGAGCGATTTACTCTTTACCATCTTTTTAATTACTATGTTTGCTTAATTCACCTTTAAAAATGGTCATTCAGGTTTGCGGGTCAGCAGCGGTCGAGTGTTCGACGTGGACCGTCACTTTGTGCGACGGCGACGTCGCGCAGCCGCGACAGGCAAACGACGCGCGGCCGGAGTACGAGGTGTCGCGCGCGACTGTGGCGTCGCCTGCCATCTGCGATTGCGATCCGACGACGTCGTCTACATCGTCCACTTGCAAAGATGGAGACAGATGGCCGTACCGCTCAATAAGTACTGAGCTTCTTCAATTTCTTGTCAGGACCCTCTTCAACAATACCATTTTCAGATCACTGCCAGTGGTGGAAAACGAAGACGTGGTGCCGCTTGTGCAGTACTTCGACAGCGATTCATCGGCAAAGGCTCGACTATCGCATGCCGCAAGCGACTGTATCTATCGGGCGCGAGTTGCGGACACCGAAGATACCAGTATCGTCAATCTGTGCGACAGCGACAATGGTCTGGTAGGTTCCGTTGAATGCTTACAAATTCAAGGCCATGCGCTCAGTTGATGCGAATGTAATGGGCTTTTCGAACGAACGGGAAGGGTCATTCGTTTTTCGTTGCAATCGCAACATCGCTGAATGCTGCTCCAGATGTGGGCTGTACGGCCAGAAACACCACGAGTTTTTTTCGTGGATACTGGCCAGTACAACGTCACAGCACAGGGCAAGTGGACTTATTGAGTACCAAGTTTATCCTTTCAAAAGAACTCATTGGAAGGATCGTTTCTGCAAAAAAAAACCCCAACAGAAGCGATTTACATAATGGCAAAGCTAAGTAAATGCTACCATATGCTTTCGATGTGAACTTTCGCCGAAGACGTTTCCATTTCTTATGCTCGCCGAATTCTCCAATTTAACTACGGAAATTGCATCGTTTAGCCTTTGACATTGGTCCATGGCCTTCTAATGGAAATGAGTTTTTTTGCAGAAAATTTGGCCATAGATGTTTTTGATAGGGTCTCTGACATCGCTATAAGGCTATCACGGAAAAGGTCCTTCTGAGTTGTTTGAATTAATGAGATGAATTCAGCCGTTCAAATGTCATAAATTTTATTTTCCTGCGGTTTCCGAGACTTCCAAGCGTTTTTTGTTTCGAAACCAGCTCAGCCACAACCATGTGGTGCGAGAGGAATAAGGGCAGGAGGGAGCAGTTAGCTGGCGCAGTGTTCGGACGACGGGTGAGGGCGGGCATTATGCACTTTCGTTGCCTTAACTAGGTGGGCGATTTACCAAGTCTCACTCGGTGAAATCTGTAGAACTTCTAGTTGAAGCTAGCGGCGGAAGCTCGCGCGAGGGGGGCCAGTCATTGGGGCTAACCTTCAACGTTGATAAGACGCTTATATAGAGGTCAAGCAGCTTGATGGGAAAAACAAAAGTGCCAGAATCTCCCCCCCCGCGGCGGTCGCCGAAGCTGCGGCCAGTTAGCGTTTGTCAATCAGTTTACTGAGATTGCGACCAGGCATCAGCTCTAAAGGTTCAAAATCTTAGCCGTTATCGATGCAATATGACCTATAGAATGATTGGTGCGGCGGATACACCGGAATGTTTGTATAGTCCCATGCAGAACTGAAACCGATTCACATGCGTACCCTGGAGGAATAGAAGGCTTGGATTGGAGCCGCTTCGAGACTCAAGCCTAGGGTCGCGTGTTTGGACAACGACCTCACTCGCTGCTGTGCCACTCTTCCCAAATTAGCGATGGACCAGGAAAGTTCGAGATCCATACCCTACAAGCGCTCCCTGTTACCTAATCTTCTTCAGAGGGCAAACCCATGCGCTCCTTTTTGACATGGGACCTGAAGTAGCGTCCATAATTCACGATGAAACAACATTAATGTAGCCCCATGTTCCTTACAAACAGCGGCAGACTATAGTGTGGAACTTCGGGGGAGTTTTCAGTGTTAATCATTACCTCTTCGAGTCATTCATCTTCACCATCCCACTTCCATTTACGGTGACATTTCAAATAAGATCTGCCCTACAATGGTCACCTTCAGACGACGAACCCATACGACGACTGACTTTTTGGCATAGGACCTGAAGAAGTGTCCATAATTCGCTAAGACGCGTGTCGACGCACTGAGGCGCTAAGCGAAGTATGAACGCTGCCTTCGTTCTATGCAGCAGCGACGGACGCAATATAGCAAAGGATTTAGTATTAGTTACTCTAAATACCGACGCGCTTCGACCATAAATCCAATGAGTCCTGGTGCCAAATTTCGCGTGACGTCACTTGCAACACCTCTTTCGCTGAGTCGTCACTAGGTGGAGCTCTGCCAGTAAATCTTCAAAAATTCATTCGGTCCAGAAAAATCGTGAATCGGCTATCGCCCGTTCACTTACTTGAGCATTAGTTAGGTGCTTTGGTATATTTATCCTCGTAGTAATAGCAGTAGCAGAAAGGCGAATTTTGTGAGTCAGACTCCTTTTCCTTTTGTGAGAACTTACTTCAGGCGCCGTAATCAGTGGGCTCTTTGTGTAATTTTCGTGCAGATGAGCACAAATGCAGGACCATGCTTTAGCTCGGCTTCTATCTAAAGATACGCACGAAATCGAAGCTCAGGTGCATTCTATATCCCGACGATGGAGGGTGCGGCTGAACTTTTTCGAAGATGCGTTTTCTTGTGTGGTGTTTCCATTCGAGACAACTGTCATTTTGCCTTGTGCTGGTGAAAACATAATTATTATAGCTACTAGAACGAGAATGCCCCGTCAGAAACGAAGATATCGCCACGTAGATATGAAGTCCGCAGCCACGCCCTTCCTATCGCTGTGATATTGGGTGTATCTCTTCTCATCGGGTACGTGACACGACAATCGTAATATGCCCCGTTGGTTGGCGTGGTGAGTGACGTCGCGCCTGATGGACGAGTTGTCCTACCTGGGTTTCGATCTAGCGTTAAAAAGATAGCGCTCGTCGTCATGGAGAGTTTCATGTCGTTGAATTCACATGAATTCCGCTGCTTTCTGACGAATGGATGCACATGAAGATCTGCCGCGCATCGCAGCACCATTTGCCGCGCGCGACGACGCGATAGCGCACGATTGTCTTGTCCCTTCCCCCAATATTTCTCCTTTGTTCAATTTTTCATTTTAGTCATTGTTTCTTCTTCTTAGAGTTACAAAAAAATGATGAGCACTTTTGCCTGCACCTCGGGTGGGAAGGAGATTGGTTGAACGAACCATTTTGGGTAAAAAGAGGGTTTCACGCCACAGTATTCTAAGTTTTGCACAAGGAGTCCTTTAAAACACTCCGGAGGTGACACACGCGGTGTGTCATAAA